GGATACATTGATCCCTATTCCTTCTGAAAAAAAGACTTTAGAATGATTTTAATCAAGGAATATGGTACATGAGAGGAGCTTGAGGGATGCACAAGAATTTGAGAAAAAAGAATAATTAAATGCTAGGTCTACAATATCATGGCAGAATATCTCTTGCGGGTGAATGCCTAATGACTTTTAGTTATAAAGATAGTCAATTAGACAACATTTTTTAAACTGCAAGTTATTTTATGACTCAAAGACAATAAGGATTTGTGTGATTTTGGGGAAAATGAAGTCCAAACTTGAAAAATCCTGCATAAATTGCAATTTTTCTGTGTTCATTCTTGGAAAATGATTCCAGCAATGTAAATTACTTGACCTGTTCAGAGTAAAACTTGTAGCTTTTGTTCCTTATCAGATAACTACATCTTTATGTCATGGACATGCGGTTACAGTGGATACCAATTTGACCCTGATCCAACAGCATGCCCTTACTGCACATAAAGCGAACCATGCACTTGTGCTATGTTAGAGAGGTGTGTCAAGTGTGAGTTTTTATCCCACTCCCACTCTTTTCATCACTAGTGGGGCTGCATCTGAAGTACTGCATTCAGATTTGGGCTGTCCACCTCTAGAAGGATGAGGAGAAACTGGCGAGCATCTAGAGAAAAGCTGCTAAGGTATATAGTGGCCTACAGCATATGTCTGAAGAGGAGAGCTTGAGACAGCAGGGCTTGTTTAACCTGTTGAAAAGAAATCTAAGAAGTAATCTAATACATGCCTACAGCTATCTGCAGGGGTGTTGAAAAGGTGCTAGAGCCATACTCTTCTTGCTAGGGCCAGGCCCTGTAAAGGGAAAACAGCCACAAATAGTGGTTCGGGGGCTCCAGATCAGATACTAAAGTTGGGGTGGGGAAAGTTTCCAAGCATTTTTCTGGAGTCCATACATGTAGGTGAATATCCATTATTGGAGGTTTTCAGACTTGGCTAAACAAAGCTATGGACAAGCTTATCTAGCATTGACTCTCAATTGACTTTGAGAGGAGGTTCAGACCGGGGACCTTCAGAGGTCTGTTCCATCCCATATGAAACCCATCATTCTACAAATAGCTGTGAACTGTCTTGTGTTCAAGGCAATGAGGCAGAGTTTAATATTATGAGCACTTCCAGAAGCAGTGAATCAGAAATCAGTAAACTGGCAGCAGTGAATTACATCAGCCTGACATGCTGTAGATCCCCACATGTGAAGAAACAGTATAAGCACAGCATCATAGCTGGAAACACAACTGCAATCCACTTACTGTATCTCTGAAAAATCACACCTTTTGAGCTGGGACATTCTATTGCATTTAAAATCTCTATACATTTGTCATGAAAACTTTCTGCTCATTAATGCAATATTTTTGGAACAGGATGAACTTTTGCTTTAACTCCACATTTCAATGTAAAAATTTTTACATGAGCTGTCAAATTATCCATGCAATGCTGTAAAAATAAACCATATGGCAGAGATGGTCACAAAGATATTTTTCCTTCCTTCTAGAATATATCTTAAGGTGATCTCCCTGCCTTTAAGTTCCTGCAAAAAGTCCAGGACTCAAATGTTTGTGTGAATAGGAAACCAGAAACATTTCTGAACAGATGACCTTCAATATTTGTTTTTGATCTGAGTTTTAGAAAAGTTTATCTTGCTTTCAACATTTCCTATTACAAAATGATGCACTTTTGAAAGACTGCAAGAGATGGTTACTGGGCTGTGTTAAAATAGTCTTCACTTGTGAAAGTAAGGAAGACCTGCCCTGAGCATTGAATCATCAAGTTGACCTCTAGATAAATGCACAACTGAATGACTGTCCTGAACCTGCAGACTCAGACTGACCCACAAATGCAAATGTACTTTCTTGCCTGGAAAGCATTTTTTCATTCCTGAATATTTGCTGCGAACAAAATAAGAGCTATGGAAGTGGTAAAATCTAAAAACCTAGAATGGAAACAGAGTATTCAATGAAACCTTTTCTCTAGTGTTCATAGGGGTCATAAGGCAAGCTTTTTTATTATTATTTAATAGTATGCTCATTCAGGAAATTAGATACTGCTGAATGATTGAAAATGATGCCATATTAGGAACAAAACCAGCCAAGTCTTTCAGAATTATTTGACATAATGACTTGATTTAATCTTAAGTTTTATAAAAGAGACTGCCACTGTCCTAATCTATGTGAGGGGAATACCATTTTCTGTGTCTTTAATAGGTGAGCACAAGCTTGAAGCTTCTCTTTGTGAATAGTGTGTGATCCCGAACATCCAGGAGAGCTATCACTGCACTGGAGAAAGATATGGTTGAAGCAAAAGAAAGCACATAAGAAGAAATGACAAGCCTAGCATGTAAAAGTCAGGCAGGCTTAAAAATAAGAATAAAATCTGCTTTCAGCACTATTGTCCAGGGAAAGACTGTGAAATAAGAAGCTACCAACTGTTTATTAGTTCCTAAATCTGTTCTGTTTTCTAGCCCTCTGCTCTTTTGTTTGGTGAGAACTAAAATTGTACCTTTTCCCGACTCTCCAGCAAACAAAAGTCTGATGCTGTCAGTGTTTTTCCCCACTCCGTACGCTTATTACTGGAAAATGGTAAGTAAGGACACACATGCATGGCTGCACACGCTCCCGTTTGGATGAAGATCCCTTTGCAGCAGTGACCCTGCACGCACAGGGCCAAGGATCTCCATTGCTCTGCTAGGAATGAGGGTAAGGAAGAGCATCAGAAAGTGGCCATCTGTTTGGCTGACCCAACAGGGCAGGTGGTCCTTCTCTGATCCATATGGTCACCTTTCTATTAACTAGAGGCTGGGCAGGACTCAGTCACCTTCTTTTAAAACAAAGGAAAACAAACTGTGGGAGAAACGTTCTGGATGCCACTGGACCAAGATGTACAAATCTTATCAGCAACCTTCCTTCTTAACAGTTCTCTCACATTTCTATTTTGATGAAGCATTGTGAGACCCAAGTGTTTTTGTGTTTATAAGAGAGAGAGATTTGGGAGGGAGAGGTCAAATGATGGAGACACTCTGTCACAGAGAAAAGGGAAGAGAAAAGGAAGACACCTACACTCCTGGGGGGCAGGGAGGGGCTGCAGAGAGAAACCAGAGAAGAGAAATCCTTCTTTTTTTGTAGGTGTTTGAAGAGGTCAGGCAAGAATTTATCTTGAACCACTGAAGTTTTGAGGTTCATCCATCAACCACTTTTCAACAGATAAACCTCTTCTCCAAACCTGAATTAAGTTAAACCTCTCTAAAGAGATTTATTTTTTAACGTAAAGATTTCCCCAACACAATGTTGTGCTGTAAACTGCAAAAGCTTGTATTCTTATGAATATTCTCAGAATAATTATTATTTATGGCACAGTTTTCTACAGTTCTATTATATCATATATGCCATTTTCAAAAGTGAATTTTTGTTGCTGGTGAATCTAGGATTAGATCATACTATCTGCATCAGCTAAGGAAACTCACAGGCATGCATACACTGCTTAGGATGCACACACATTTGTGCATACCTACGCACTGCTCTCTAAGAAAAAGCAATATATATACTCCTATACTGTAAAAAACAATAAGTCTGTAGTGCGTGTAATTCATGCAGTGGTCTTGAAAGGTGTAAGTAGCACATCATTTTAAGCACAGACTATACTCATCATACAGAAAGCTTTATCAAGCACGACCAACATGCTAGTTTATGTTCCCCCCCATCAGGCCTGCCTGTAATTTATTATCATCTGATGTCCAAGAGTCTAAATGTGTTTCCTGGTCTCAATCCAGTTTCAAGTGCCTATATCACAAAACCTGTCACCATTCCTGGCCTCAAAATTGCATGTTTACAGAGAGTTATCAGCAGAAAATCTGTGCATATGATCAGTTTTGAGAAATGAGCTCTGTTTTCATTCCTAAAGGTAGCTTATGCAGGTACAACACTGAGGTTTGTTTGTGAGACTAAAAAAAAATCCTGCCTGGCTAACATCCAAAGGAAGATTTCTTCCCTATGTACGGCCTAGTTTCAATTTCTAGAGCTAATCCTTTTTTTTCTTTTGATAGCACTAAGTTTCTAAAAACTAAATGACTGTAAACTGAAGGAAAAAAAATCCAAAATATCGAGAAAGAAATTAAATCTCAATCTAAATTAAGCATCTGTATGCTACAGAAAGAATAATACTAATATTGAGACATCACCTTTTATTTTATCTAAGCAGAAGTGCTTACTTAGGTGACTATTTACTTTTCATTTTATGTAGGAAAGCAGTACATGATGATAAAAGAAAAAAAATATAACTTTGAGGGAAAAACCAGGGCATCGGTCTGATCATGATGTGGAGTGTATCATCATGTTTGTAAAAGATGAGGTGAAAGGACCATCTAACCTCATATTCTGCCTCTAGCTGTGGTTAATGACAGCTGCCTAGGAAAAATAAACACAGTGCAAACATATAGTAACACTTCTATGGGATACTCTCTCTGTCTCTAAATATTGATGGCTCTGGGACTGCTTGAGTTGTCCAGTCATTTCTCCTGCAACCATGCAGGATTTTATATACCTCTATACACCTCAGTTAGCTCTCTTCCAACCTGCAGTCTTTATCACAAAAAGCTCTCCCTTACTTTTTGTCACCTTTTTCTCTACCTTTACAAATTCCACTGTATTCTTTACAAAGTGAAGGGGACCACAACTGTATACAGTTTTAAGGAGATGGGAGTACCAAAGACCTAAGCTGAACCTGAAGAGCCTTGACAAATATTTGAAACATATTAGAAACAAATTCAGCTATTTGTGCTGTACCCCTTACCTACAGCACTCTAAAATCAAATTTTATTATCTTTATTCACCATTATTTGCTCTTATTAGCTCATGCTTACCATTTTACACAGTAGAACCACTTCTCCCAATATACAGATCTTATTGCCTATTTAAACTCATAGTGTCTTTGATATAACTGCAATTAGAAAACAATACATGCAAAATGTTACTCACTTGTATTTATCTTCTGAAGTGAAATGTGCTTTTCCAGCTGTCTACGAAGTTTCACCTCTGCTCCATATTTACCAGCAGTTCCATTGTCAGCCAAAATAAAATGAGAATGCATACTGTTGAGCACTGTCAATTTACTCATGGGATTGGACATCGTCTGGTATGGTCGGACCACCTGCATTTTAGAGACAGAGGAAAAAAAAAAAGTACTAAACAGAAAAGACCCTCTGCGTTAAATCAATTCTAAGATACCAACTGACAAGATGATACAAAAGTCAAAGAAAAAAAAAAATTTTTTTTAAGTATTGCAGTTGAGCACTGCTGTCTTCTATGCGTAAAGTAGAAAATAACCTTAGCATTTCAACCTGTGTGGCCAGCTCTTGCAAACACTGACCTTTTAGATGCAGACACTGCTTGAATGGTTTTCCATTGTAATCTGCTTCAATAGCATCAATGGAAACTGTTTCAGTGTTAAGTTTAGCTAATGGTCAGTCCTCCAAAGGTCTGTGTGAATACACACACACAAAATATACACCCTGTCTGCTGCTGTCTTTCAATAGCGGTGCTGCAAATCCTTACCTCATGTGATCAAAATTTTTGATTCTTCCTTCACAGACCCCACCTAGCACCATCCCCCCTGTTCTAGCTTATTCAGAGCCACCAGGACAGGAGGTCCTCTGCAGACACACCAATACAGGTGAGTTCCTGTATCATGTATACACTCTTGGAGATGTGTATACATGATATTACACCACATTTTCAATTACCTTGGAAAAAACTATTGGCCCATTCTTAGCACAGGACAAAGGCAGTTCTTGCATCCACAACAGCTTTATAAAATTTCCATACAATGGGGAGTTTGCTACACTTCTTTGGATTTGTTTTCATCAGGAGAAACTCCACTCCAGACAGAGCAAATTGTTGCAGAGTTATCCCACCCATAGACTCCAGACAGACCAAGTAATAACACTGGGTCACATTTGGCTGTCAGCTACTTTGGTGGGTCTCCAGTGATGTAAGACTGAACTGATGTAGCGAAAGAACTGGTGTGGTGTTGAGGAATCCAGGCTGATCATTTAAAGACATTGGCTAGAAATATTGTTCCCTGCACTGTTTATGTACATCTTGTCTTTTTGGAAACACAAAACTCCTCAAAATTTGTAAAATGAATTTCTAGCTGAAGAAAAGCTGAAGTTACAAAACTCAGCTGGGCTATACTTCATCTGCAAGGCATCTTCTTCACAGCTCTGGCATTGTTCATTTTGCAAATCTAACAAAATCTTGTGCTTTTTAATGCAAAAAAGTGTATACACATGTTTTGACAAAAATGCCTGCAGACAGAAGTATATTATTACTTTCTTCCTAAGCTTCTCTCCCTTTTTGTTAAAGAGCTCTCTAATTGAGACATAATTCTTTGTAAATAATATGTGTTAGTAATTCTTTGGCCAGAGATCTATCATTTTCACTTGCAAATGCTTGCAGGACCTTGGTCAACTCTTGGATGGCAAGAGGAAACCCACAGACTTTTTTGCTGTTATAAACTGTCACACAGAGGGTACTTTCTAAGCTGTTCATTTGCAGAAAGTAGGAAATAGGTCTGAGAAGACCAAGGGGCAGCTGGCCAACAGCAAGGCAGTGCCCTCCACTATGAGAACAGGTGATAGCTTTGGCTCAGGTTTCTTTTATACTGTTTCTTTTGGTGCCCATTCATAACACATTTATTCTACAGGCACACGTAGCTTAAGAAATATCAGTATGCTGCTGGAATTTGTTCATTAACTAGCTTCTACAGACACAGAAACCCTGTGTCCTATGCCACAGTCAGAAAGAAAAAGAAGATTCTTTCTCATATCTCTAAGAATCAAATAAAATCAAACCAAAACAGTTACAGATTTTTTGAAAGTGGTACCTGCCTCATCTCTCAATATCTAGAGGTCACAGGCCAGCAAGATCTGACAGAGGAGGAATGACTTGAGTTGTCCATTCATTGTATGATCACAAGCCACTATGCATACAATTCTACTGAGAGCTTGTGGTTTGTCCCTGAGAGCCACAGCTCAAAACTTTCTAATGGTGACAGCTTGATATGCTGCTCTAATGAACTGCAGCACCAAAGACTCCATGTATTTACTTCATAATGCTGCTTGCAGGGCAGATTAGAAGGCTACCCTTTGGTTTTGTGTCTGCTGTTTAGCTACAAGGTGAATCTTATTATTAATAAATTTTATGGATGTGAAAATGAGAATACAATTATTTTCAATCGAGCTGTTCACATCATGCTGATGTGAATGAATGTGAATGAATATTTCAGCTGTCAACAGCTGAAATACTTTTTTTTTTTCTAAATAATAAATTTTGCAAACCACACTGTCAGATTTTTTCCTGATTGAAAGAGAAGTAAATTCTTCGGGAAGGCAAGAAAATCCTAGGCTTTGAGGCTATTTCCTTGAGGTGAATTGCTTATCCACAACACTCAGCAGATTTTCAGTTTCTCACTCTTGCAGTTCCTATTCCTTTGTTCTTTTCAATCCCTTACATTTTACAGGCAAGACTTTAGTGTCTTCTCACCCTCCTTCTGCATTGAGAAGAGGGAATAATGTCCCCTGGCATCTTCTTCTGCAGAGTTGAAAGGAAACATTTATGCTCAAGACAACCCCTCTAAATATAGGTTAATGAATGTGACAGCAGCCATCCTGCGAAGCAGTCCTCACGATGCACGGGCTGAGGGCACTCTGTCAATAGGTGAGGAGCTGGGCTAACCCCACCAGTTGCCTTGGCACCCTGAGGTGGCAGCAAGTTTAAATTACAAGCATTGTTATACACTGTTTACATTCCCCGTGACACTCCACATAGGGACAGCACTTGAAAAATCATTTAGGGCAACTCACTATGGACAATGAGCATGCACGTGTCAGGTGATCCCACGCATGAATCTGAGCAGTCTAGGTGAAGGCAAGGAATTTACAACAAACTTACTGTGTTCAGAGTAGCAGCAGAAAAAGAGAGAGATGCGTGCTTTGCTTCTCAAAGAGTAGCAGCTGTTGTTCAGATTGAGCCTCCTCTGCAGCCTCACTGTTCTGGCATACACCAGGGAATAGAGTAGTTCCCGGTTTAATTTAGAGAATCCTGAAAGCATCATGGTCCAAATTCTCCATATATGCTACAAATATGCCAGTCCCTAGCTTCACCCCAGGCATACTCCCACCTTGTAGTTTGCAATGAGAGAGCTGAATCTCTTCTCCTCACACCTTTCCTTAGAGTAGTTATTTCCTGACCTGGCCTGCAAGGGAGCTCTGATACTTTGACATGGGATAAAAGTTGTGAACTATTTATGGTTATTTGTAATTTTTTTTCCCCCAGTAATTCAATTTATTCTAATGAATAACATCTTTCTGGAAGGTTGATTGCAAAATATCTACCAAAACCAAGTCAAAATTGGTAACAACAAATCCAACAACAATAGAGTAATATACAGTTATTAATCAGTTGCCTGGGATTTGTAACTTTTATCATTATTCTGAAACCTGCAGAAAATAATTAAAGCAAAACATAATTTTTCTGACATTGTAAAAGCAAAAAAGTATAGAAGTATGAGAGACTGAAGGAAGCAGTCTCATGCTATGAGTTAACATTGTTATTCAGATGAGAGAATGAAAAGGAAACGTGTAGCCCATCTTGACAGTCTGATGTACATGTTATCTAGTACACACATACAGAGCAGGTAATATGAATGCTGGTCTTTCTGACAAGACTCATGGGAATGTGTTTTAAAGACCAGGGTTTAAAAAGTGATGAGTTCTAGCTACATACCTATCAAGCTTGGGGGCTACATGATTTTTTTTTTCATATACATGAATGGTAAGGAGATTCTAATTCTAATACTAATTCTAAGGGAACGCTAACTCTTGAATGCACACTTTTTCTGTTTGGGAGGCAGGTGGTATTCTGAAAAGGAAGGAAACTTGGTACTGACAGAGTTTCAGTTCTTTAAGGTTTAAGCTTTCCTTATTGGTTTTTCTTTCTGCACATCCAGCTTGCTCTTATTCCCTTGACTTGTCTTATAACTAGATATTGGCCTCACCTGTGCCCAGTGACATAAAAATGAATGATTCCCAAGGCTGTATATCAGTCCTGTTACTAAATTCAAGTGTAACATTCATCTTTCTGAAACAGCATTGAGTTATGATGTAATCAAGTTGTTAACTACTAATAATTACCTGGTGACTCACTACAAGATGGAAGGTCCCCACCTTTCCTGAAGAAGTTGTCTAGCCTGTTATTGCCCGGGGATTTTGAGTAGTTCATGCTAGCAACTGTTCCATTACAGGCTTACTTCTAACTTCTCCATTGTGACCCTGCCCTCTGAAGTGCATACAACCTTCCAGCTTTTATATTTCCTCCCTATTCCATCATCCAAATCAATGCTGAAAAAAGCTGAAGATATGACTGAGCAAGTAGATCAAGACTCGCAGAGTTCTGCTGTGAGTACAGTTTGAACATCCCACAGAAAACTTTGCTGATGACATGTTCTTACCTCCAGTTATGGTTATAAAACTCAGCAACTGCATCAATATAAAAATTGCTTACTCTGAAAATGCAATCTTTAATAAATCAGAAGCATTATCTAGAAACTGACTGAGAAAGCCAGGCTTTATTTTTTAACAAAAGAAATATCTAAGGATGTTTGGATTCAACTTACGTTTAGCCCAATATAAATCTAGCCTGTATATAAAAAGGGACACTATTTGCTCCTTAATTTTATGATTTCAGCTGTAGAGGAGAGTAGGTTTCAAGTAGCAGTATACTCATTCCTTGAGTTTTACTTAATTTATTTTTTCCGAATATTCTGAGCAGTACAAAAGAACAGGTATCTGTTATTAGTGAAATCCATAAAGAACATCTACAACTGGCAATGATTGTGCTTCCAACTTTTGAGTTCCAGGAAGTAAAAGATATAATTTATTCTGGGACACAGAGTGCATGAAAGGGTTTTTAATGTATAAATTAATACATTATTTAATTACTAATTTTT